CATGCTTTCTCTGGGATAGTTACTCCATAGTGAAGCCCATTAACTAGCATCTCCTCAAGGCCAGCAATGTGCAGCCTTCATATTTCTGTCATTACTGGTTCCCTTTTAAAGAATAACTTCATGTGATGGAAGCGTAGGCAGGACAGAACACACAAAGAAGATTGAGAACACACAAAGCTTTATTGAACTATGAAAGACACTCAATCAGGACAATTCATGGCACTCTGCGACATGCGGCTTGTAGGGACACCCACGGTAAGTGGGCTCATGGGGCTCAACGGGGCTCTGGCTGTGGAGGCCGCCCTCAATACAGTTCCCACACAGCATACTAGGGGCAACATCAGGTTCACGGGGATTCAAAGGGACTCTGGCTGTGGAGACCGCCCTCAAAACAGCTCCCAAACAGGGGCAACATCAGGTTCACGGGGATTCAAAGGGACTCTGGCTGTGGAGGCAACACAGCTCCCACACAGCATACTAGGGGCAGTTCATGGCATGGGTGGTCAGTGCACACACAAGGGACAGTTCATGCCACAGGTGGTCTCGCCAATAAGAGGGAAAGCGAGGAGGGGGCTAAAAGGCTTGTAGTCCAGCACCAAGGACAAAAGAAAGGTCTCTGTGGCAGATTGTAATCCAACAATGGGTCATCACAGGAACAGTTTAGGTAAAACAGAGGGAGACATATGCTCACGGATCTGACAGGCTGCCCGGTCCCCCAGGGGTAAGATAATAGGACACAGATACCTGTTGGGGTCCGGAGGAGGAGAGTAGTCCCTCCCCTAGGCTTGGGGGGTCTCAGGCAGCTGGCCGGTAATCCCCCTAGGCTTGGGGGTCTCAGGCACTGGCAGGCAATCCCCCTTGGCTTGGGGGTCTCAGGCGACAGGCAGGCAATCCCCCTTGGCTTGGGGGTCTCAGGCGACAGGCAGGCAATCCCCCTTGGCTTGGGGGTCTCAGGCGACAGGCAGGCAATCCCCCTTGGCTTGGGGGTCTCAGGCGACAGGCAGGCAATCCCCCTTGGCTTGGGGGTCTCAGGCGACAGGCAGGCAATCCCCCTTGGCTTGGGGGTCTCAGGCGACAGGCAGGCAATCCCCCTTGGCTTGGGGGTCTCAGGCGACAGGCAGGCAATCCCCCTTGGCTCCTGGGGTCCCCCTTCCTCAAATGGGGCTTAGGCAGAGTCTGGCAGCGTCTCGGGCAAATGCAGAGGAATTGTGGAATGTAGTGCAATTGTCTGGGGCTGGAATACTTGTTCACAGGTGCCAGAAGTTGGTCAACTCCATGCAACACAGGTGTGAAGCAGTTCTCAAACCGTGGTTATACAACTAAATATTCAGTGGTTCACAGGAAAGCTAAATCTTCAAGCATTTTTTTTTTTTTCAGTTTATACAGTAAATGTTTGAATTTTTGTAAAGAAAAATGCAGACACTGCTATTTTTGGAACAGCCTAGTATTTTTCTTCATTTTCTGTAAAGTAATAACAAATTTTGAAACATTTTTCTTCCTGTTTTGATTTGGATTACTGTCCAGTGTTCCCAATACATTTGCGTGTATGGAAATAAAAGCTATTCTAGGGGGGATTTTGAGCTTTACTCACTTTTTTAAGTACACTATTTTGAACACAACTGTACTTTTGATAAACGTAATCAAGACCTAAAAAGTTGCATGCTCTGTTTAGTGTCTTGTTCACACAAGCGGTAAATGGGCAGCACAAACATGCTTTTACTGTGCGCTGAAGGCCAACCAGTGAAGTGGAGGGGGCACCGTCTGTCAAGCTTGCGTATTGGTTGCAGTGCGTTCCCATTAACTTCAGTCTTACCATGCCAAAGTAGGTCTCCTTAAATGAATGATTCACAGCCTTCCTGGATCCCATCTTCAGACATTTGAATGTGCTGGCCACATTTTTTTTTTTTTTTTTTTTTTTTTTTTTTTAAGATTGGCACCATCCTTCTGTTTATTCCACCACCCACTACAATTAAATGGAGGGTGTTTGTTGTAAGGGGATACATACCATTCTTATGGTGACATAGTGGCATTGTGATTACATTTTACTTTACAAGGAATACAATATGTTCCATTAAAAATGGGTGTATATTGGTTTGCCCCCTTTTTTTTTTTTTTTTTTTTTTTTTTTTTTTTTTTTTATACAATGTCCTCTGTCCTAGGAGAAGCAGCTTGCCATTCTGCATTTTCCTGTTTATACAGACATTAATACATATGTGAAAAGTAGCATTCATGCTCATACAAGAGCAGAGAAGATGCTTTAGGAGTAGGTGTACACATGTACTCGCATACAGTTTGCTTAATTCATCCATGTACTGTGCATGCAGAAAGTATTCACAATGCTTAACTTTTGCCACATTTTATGTTACAGCCAATTGATTAAATTCATTTTTTTCCCTCAACATTCTACAATCAATACCCCATAATGATAACGTGAAAGAAGTTAATTTGAAATCTTTGCAATTTATTTAAAAATAAAAAAACCCCACATGTACAGAATTATTCACAGCCTTTGCTCAATACTTTGTTGATGCACCTTTAGCACCAATTACAGCTTCAGTCATTTTGAGTATGATGCTTCAAGCTTGGCATGCCTATTTTGAGGCAATTTCTCCCATTCTTCTTTGCAATAACTCTCAAGCTCCATCAGGTTGGATGGGGAGCGTTGGTGCACAGCCATTTTCAGATCTCTCCAGAGATGTTCAATCGGGTTCAAGTCTGGGTTCTGGCTGGGCCACTCCAGGACATTCACAGAGTTTGCCCATAGCCACTCCTTTGTTATGTGGGCTATGTGCTTAGGGTCATTGTCCTGTTCAAAGATAAACAGTCGACCCAGTCTAAGGTCCAGAGTGCTCTGGAACAGGTTTTCATCAAGGATGTCTCTGTACATTGCTGCATTCATCTTTCCTTCGATCCTGACTAGTCTCCTAGTTCCTGCCGCTGAAAAACATCCTCACAGCATGATGCTGCCACCACCATGCTTCACTGTACGGATGGTATTGGCCAGGTGGTGAGTGGTGCCTGGTTTCCTCCAGACATGACACTTGGCATTCAGGCCAAAGAGTTCAATCTTTGTTTCATCAGACCAGAGTGTTTTGTTTCTCATGGTATGAAAGTCCCTTGGGTCCCTTTTTGCCAAACTCCAGGCGGGCTGCTATTTGCCTTTTACTGAGGAGGGGCTTCCGTCTGACCACTCTACCATACAGGCCTGATTGGTGGAGTGCTGCAGAGATGGTTTGTTCTTCTTGAAGGTTCTCCTCTCTCTCCAAATAGAAACGCTGGAGCTCTTTCAGAGTGATCATCGGGTGCTTGGTTACCTCCCTGGCTAAGGCCCTTCTCCCTCAATCGCTCATTTTGGCCGGGCGGCCCACTCCAGGAAGATTCCTGGTGGTTCCAAACTTCCATTTACGGATGCTGGAGTCCACTGTGCTCATTGGGACCTTCAATACTGCAGAAATTTTTCTGTACCCTTCCTCAGATCTGTGCCTTGATACAGTCCTGTCTCGGAGGTCTACGGACAATTCCTTGGACTTCATGGCTTGGTTTGTGCTCTGAAATGCACTGTTAACTGTGGGACCTTATATAGACAGGTTTTATGCCTTTCCTAATCATGTCCAATCAACTGAATTTCCCACAGGTGGACTCCAATCAAGTTGTGGAAACATCTCAAGGATGATCAGTGGGAACAGGATGCACCAGAGCTCAATTTTTGAGTGTCATGGCAAAGACAGACTGTGAATACTTATGTACATGTCTATTGTGTGTGTTTTTTTTTTTTTTTTTTTTTTTTTTTATTGCAAAGATTTCAAAACTAACTTCTTTGACGTCATTATGGGGTATTGCTTGTAGAATGTTGAGGGGGAAAAATGAATTTAATCCATTTTGGAATAAGGCTGTAACATAAAATGTGGCAAAAGTTTAAGCGGAGCTCCACCCAAAAGGGGAAGTTCCACTTTAAGTACTTGTCCCCCACTCCCCATTAAGGATTGGCACCTTTTGGGGAAGGAGGGGGGAGCGGGTAGCTGATCGGAACCTCAACCCCCCCCCCCCCCCCACCCCCCCGTTACACGTGACAGGTCCAAGAAGACTACAGGACCATTCACAAAGTGCAGTACTTCTCGCGCAGTGGGCACCCGGCTGTGAAGCCGCAGGCTGTCACAGCCGTGTGCCTACACTGAAGATGCCGGCGCCAGGAGACAAGAGGGCCGGTGTGAAACCAACTGTGGTAAGGACACTGCTGGACGGAGGGACAGTTATGTGGCTGTATTTTAAAAGTCATCGGCTACAGTTTTTGTAGCTGCTGACTTTTTTTTTCTCTTTTTTAGCTGGAACTCCGCTTTTAACCATTAGCCGTGGCCGTTTGGCGGCTTCAAAAGTGTTCCTGCATTCCGAGTGCACGCCATTTGGCGTGCTCCCGCACATGCGCAGTTTGCGCTAATGCAGAGCGGCGCAGCAGCGCGATCTGTCACCGGCCGTGCACCTCGGACACAGCGGATGACAGATCCGAGTACCGGCTCCCGTTGCTGGTACCATGTGACCTGCTGTGACCAATCACAGCAGGTCACATGACAGTTGTATACAATGGATGGCTTCATTCATGCCATCCATTGTATATTAGTGCCTAGCTGTGAATGGTCACAGCTAATCACATGCACATGTCATGTGATTAGCTGTGACCAAATCACAGCTAAGCACAAAAAAAAAAAAAAAAAAAAACTGAATGAATCATTTCATTCAGGTAAATGCTTGCTTATAGCAAAGTACCGTATTTTTCGCTCCATAAGACGCACTTTTTTCCCCCAAAAAAAGGGGGGAAAATGTCAGTGCGTCTTATGGAGCGAATATAGAGCGGCCGGTCCGGTATTTCAACCGCCGCCGTGCAGAATACCGGGCCGGCCGCTCAGCTCTGCAGCGGGACCTTATGGAGAGGACTGCTGACCTTTGGGGAGGTGGGGAGCGGGTACCTGAATTGGACAGGTACCCGCTCTTACTTCTTTGTTCTTTATCTTACCTGTTCCTCTATCCAGCGGCGCACTGTCTTCCCGGCTTCTGTAGTGTGGGCACTGGGCATGACAGCCGGGTGCCCAGTGCGCATGCGCAAGAAGCGGTGCTTTTTGTGAATGGTAAGGCGGTACCTGGGACACATGACCGATCCCAGAAGCCGCCGGACCAATCACAAAGCGCAAGTGCTTCTCGCTCATGCGCAAGTCATTCTCTCGCACTGCGGGCGAGCGCCATGGCCGGGAAGACAGCGCGCAGCTGGATCGCACAACTCTGGGAAGTACCCCGGCTGTCATGCCGAGCGCCATTACAGAAGCCGGGAAGACAGCGCGCAGCTGGATCGAGGAACAGGTAAGATAAAGAACAACTCTCGAGGAAGTAAGAGCGGGTACCTGTCAAATTCAGGTACCCCGTGCTCCCCCCCTCCCCAAAAGTCAGCAGTCATCTGTACTGTCCCCGCAGTCTCTGGTCATCCCTGTGCTGTCCCCGCAGCAGTCTCTGGTCATCCCCTGTGCTGTCCCCGCAGTCTCTGGTCATCTCCTGTGCTGTCCCCGCAGTCTCTGGTCATCTCCTGTGCTGTCCCCGTAGTCTGTCTCTGGTCATCTCCTGTGCTGTCCCCGCAGTCTCTGGTCATCTCCTGTGCTGTCCCCGCAGTCTCTGGTCATCTCCTGTGCTGTCCCCGCAGTCTCTGGTCATCCCCTGTGCTGTCCCCGCAGTCTCTGGTCATCCCCTGTGCTGTCCCCGCAGTCTCTGGTCATCTCCTGTGCTGTCCCCGCAGTCTCTGGTCATCCCCTGTGCTGTCCCCGCAGTCTCCTGGTCATCCCCTGTGCTGTCTCCCCTGTGTCCCCGCAGTCTCTGGTCATCCCTGTGCAAAATCCCCTGTGCTGTCCCCGCAGTCTCTGGTCATCCCCTGTGCTGTCCCCGCAGTCTCTGGTCATCCCCTGTGCTGTCCCCGCAGTCTCTGGTCATCCCCTGTGCTGTCCCCGCATACGGTAATTCTTTGCTATAAGCAAATTGTGTGAAAAAAAAAATTAAAAATACTGATCACTTCCCCAAAACCTAGTAGTACAATGTTACTATGGTAACATTGTACTACTTTGGTCATAGTAAAATATGAAAAAAATCTTAAAAAAAATGTAATAAAAAATTAAAAATAAAAAAAAAAATTAAAAAAAAAAAAATATATATATTTTTTTTTCATACTGTCACCAGTCAGTGTCCCTGTTCACCGCCATGCCAGTTATATGATGACGCTGTACTGCACTGGTGACAGTATGTAAAAAAAAAAAAAAAAAAGTGAAAATAATTTTTTTAATTTTTTCATTTTCCGAAAAATTATGACAAAAAAATACAACTTCAAAAAACTCGCCATGCCTCTTATGAAGTACGTCGGACTGTCTACTCTGCAAAAAGGGGTCATTTGGGGATATCTGTACTAGTCTGACATTCTTGGACCTCAAGAAATTAGATTGGCTGTCAGTACTTCAGGATTGATACTTTCAGATCTATACCATAGTTTGTGAACTCTATAACTTTCCTACAAACTAAATAATACATCCTAATTTGGGTTATTTTCACCAAAGACATGTAGCAGAATACATCTCGGCCTAAATTTATGAAGAACAACAACAAAGAAAAATGTGTTTTTTTTTTCAAAATTTTTGGTCTTTTTTTTGTTATTTAGCAAAAAATAAAAACCCCAGCTGTGATTAAATACCACCAAAAGAAAGCTCTAGTTGTGTGAAGAAAATGATAAAATTTTAGTTTGGGTACAGTGTTGTATGACCGCGCAATTGTCATTCAAAGTATGAGAGCGCTGAAACCTGAAAAATGGCCTGGGCAGGAAGGTGTAAAATTGCACGGTATTGAAATGGTTAAGCACTGTGAATATTTTCTGGATGCATTGTAGACTGATAAAGCCTTTCTCCCGTCTACAACTTAAGAGGAAGAACGCTTAGGATTGGTCTTAACAAGCTCTTGCCTAATAATGAATAGATTGATGCAATAAAGTCATTTTGTCAAACCATGAAAATGGCTGATGAAAGTTGAAAGTTGAGGCATTGGATTATATAGTCATGTTTAAACCGAATCTATCATTTGAAAGGCCCACGTAAAATGATCAATTACCAGATAAGAGCTTTGCTTTCCCACCATGGATCCTATCATCCCAAGATAACGGCTATTTGTAGAAGAGATGGATCTTAACCTTTTCCAGAAAGACCCTTCTTCAAGGCTTGTAATCTAAAAGGTTTAGACACTATACAAATGTTTCCACTCATGTAGAATTTCTTATAAACAGAGCCACAATCTTCTCTCATGATCTGTGTTTAGGAAACGAAAAAAGCTTTTATTTATTTTTTTTTCCCTCCTGCATTATACGGATAATTCTGCTTTGCTTTTGCTTTCCCTATTTTACAGCTTTTTCTGATGTGATAAATTTGATTTATGTGCACCGTGGGAGTGTAAGAGGACAAAAGGCTGTGTGTAAAATTATAGCTTCAATTTGTGCAGTGTCTCCAACTTGAATCAATCTGAGATTTGGCTTTAGAAAAGACCATTGTATTATTTTTGGGCAGCTGGTAAACAGACTGCTCCGTAATGTTTGTGCATCTGTACGGAACCCTCTCCAATAGGAGATCATTTAAACGCATTGCTTTTGGCGGATTGTTTTGTGCTTACATACCAAAACATGCAGATGCTGCGGAATCAGATGTAGATATTTTTCTCTGATGTCATATAGAAGATGCTGGCTGCTTGTTCACCTGCTATAAGTCTTGTGGTGCAGTTCTCTACGTGATGCTGCATACTTTCCATACTGCGCTTTGTAGAATGGGCAAGGCACTGCAAGCTTTGCAGATGTGAAAGCTTTTATTGCTCTGATCTGCTAACCCTTGAAATCTCAAATTCACCTCTTTGAGCTGCAATGCAGTGTTTTGGGATTGCAGTAGAAAAATAGATTGCAAAGTATTAAACATTTAAAGTAGTAGTCTGATCTGATGGAGAAATTGGATCTTGTTTTAAAGTATGAAGCTGTTTAAACTGCAAAATGAAATGGTTTACTTTATCCTTATTTACTGCAATGTAAAGGGCTCAAATGCTTTCTAGTGCCTAATGTCCTTTAAAAAAAAAACAAAAACATGCACACCTTCATTTATATCCACTAACTCTAAACCTAGATTAGAGAATAGAGAAGCCGCTTATCAACCACTGTATTGTGCACTTGTAGCATCTAATCATATTACCTGTAATTCAGACAAGCACCTTTTTTGAGCATATTCGAGTTTGTTGCCAGCCTTTGGAAGGAGATGGGATGACCTAACAATCAGACAGAGCACACGAATATAACTTTTAAAAGTGGGGATTCTGTTTATTACATATCTATATGTTCATTGATAACCTAAGCTCCAGTTTTATAACTGACTGAAGCAACAAGTTTGTTCTAAAGTGGTCCCTTATTGAGATTCTGGGGGCACCTTTTTCCGACTGATGGTGCTACCTGACAGCGTTTGTGGACCTGACTGCTGAAACTGAGATTCCACCCCCAGATGTGGTAAAGCCTATATCAGCCAGGAATGTGTTTACACTTGTTAAGCTGACTGTTGGCATTCAAGTGGGAGCAATTTTGGGCAGCTGTAAAGCTGCCCAGTTTTTTCTGCAACCACCAGAACATTTGTTCTCCCTATGTGGTAGCAATAAATTTTATGGGTTTTAGTGGTTCCAATGTTGTAGGTGTTGGTGGGTTTTAGTGGATCCAAAGCTAGAAGGTTTTTTTTACCTTAATGCATTTTATGCATTAAGGTAAACCACCTGGGTGCGGCTACCTCACTCCCCTGCCCCAGATACTGCCCCACCACTTATACTTGGGGCCCATCTCAATTCAGTGATGTGTATGAGAGCAGAGGCTCTCCCTGGTCTCTTCCTCATTGGCTCCAGCTGCTGTCAGAGCCAGTGAGGAGAGAGCAGGGGGCGGAGCTGAGTCATGCCCTGTATGTGATCAGACAGTGTCCATTCACAGGAGCATGGCTCAGAAGAAATCCTGCTCGAATGCTCTTAAGCACTCGGGGGAGGAGCCAGGCCTGTCGGCGGGGGACCTAAGAAGAAGAGGATCAGTGCTCCTCTGTAGAAAAATTTAACTTGTGTTTTTAATTTAAAAAAAAAAAAACTTTAGAATCCCTTAATTTACACCCCAGTGCATTTGCCTGCACTGAATTGCATGGTACAGCTGCATCATGTCACCCGGTTGCTGTGCATTTTTTAAAGTAGTGCATGCTCTACTTTTTCGGTGCAGTCCAGCACGATTTTATCCCTTTCAAATGAACCACACTGCACTAAGATCACATGTGAACAACGCATTCTTATGCGATTCGTGGTGTGAACTGGTCCTAACTTGGATGCCACACTGTAGGATGTGTGGATCCTCTGTCAGACCGCTACAATCCATTTTGGTATAGAGAAAGGTGCCCCATCCTCATACCGTAATGCAGTATTCTGTTCCTGAGCAACCTAATCTCAGATTTGAGCGGTCTCGCATCTTGGGGTCTAACAAGTTTTTTATGCAAATGCAGGCTTTCAAAAAGAAAAAAAAAATTGTCAGTGTTGTATCTGATCTTTGGGGGAACGTGGGTTATACAGTTTGTGAGGATGACTAGCTTGGTGGTTTATGGCAGGGAGTATTACAATGAATTGGGCCTAGTTATACATACATTTATGTAAACTTGTATCAGAGAAATGATGGATGATATCATAAACTTTAACTGTCACCTACTTTTGTCACTGAATAATGAAAATAGAATAATGCATTAAATGGCATTATGTAATTGTCTTTTATCTCTCTCTCACATACAGTTAGAACGAGTAAACCTTTCAGCAGCTCAGACTCTCCGGGCAGCATTTATAAAGGTAAGGAAGGTCTGGATTTAAATCTTTTCAGAATGTTTCAGAATGTTTTCTGCTATATGTAAATGCACACAGCTGTTCAATGATGGAAGGGTAGTAATTGCAGATGTAATATCAAGCATTCTTTACAGTGCCTGGATTAACACTTTTTGCACTGATGTAGCCGTGCAAAGCAATGCTTTTTATTATGTCCGAAAGGTCCAAGCAACTATTTTTAAAGCTCAGGAGGTATGTTTTTTTTTATCATACATCACAGGATGGGTGCTAATGGGATATGCTCCACCTCAAGGATTTTAGATACTGGCAAATAGCAGAGCTGAAACACAGCCTTGCATAACCCTTCTATCTCCTAGCATGCCTTCATTTATTTATTTATTTTTTTTTTGTGTCCATATATGAGGGACCTTATCTCTCTACAGAGGGAAAGATTGGGCCAAGCAGTGATTGTCTGACCAATAAGTGCTCTGTTATATGTGGAGTCCTGAAGTTCTTTTGCTCCTGGGCAGAGAAGAGCAGCCACAGATGTGCTGGCCTGTTTTTGTTTGGGTGCCAATTTTTTCACCTTGGGTGCTATTGTTTCCTTCTGTACCAAAGCTGCAACATTGTAGGATGGGGCTTCAGTAAACACACCCATACAGCACATGCTTTCACATCTTGGCACTCTCTAACTCTGTAACTCTGGGCACTGGCCTGGACACCACTGAAAAGACTCCTTTCTATGCCATGCAGGTGACAATAGCATGGGCTCTGCCAGCACACAGATGGCTAATGGCATATGGTGATGTTCAGGAAACCCTTCAAAGAGTTCTGTCAGCAGTAGTCCACCTCAGGACTCTGACTCCTTGAGTCAGTAAGTTGAGATGCATAGTCTACCTTGGGACCTTTCCTCGTGAGGATGAGCAAACTGCTAGCGACTTTCTGACCCTTACATTATCCCTTGGAAGTTTTTTATACGGATGTGGTTTATAATAACTTGGTTGCAGCAACCAGTGCCAATCTTACCCAAGATCACCAGTTTGCGGTTTATGTAAGTGCCAAGTCATCCTCCCCCAAAAACGTTCCTGTGCATTGTATGTAGAGGATTCTGTAGGAGATCAATAAACCAGACTGAAGGTAATCTTTTTAGGATCTTAAAGTGTTACTAAACCCAAGACCCTGCATTCACTATATCTGGTCTCCCACAGCACACACAACATGGAAGTGCAATTATTTTAGTAAATATAAACTGCTAAATACCTTTTTCTCATCAGCAGTTAGAGCAGTCTTGTGACTTCAGCTGAGCACTGGTTAAAGCTTGTAGGGGTTTTCTTCCTGCTGTAATAGGATGTAGAACCCCTGACCCTCTGTCTGGACAGTGCTGATTGGCCCTGTTGTGATCATATGCACTCTCCCAAGGAGAAAAAAAAAACTTCTCTAGCAATACACACCAAACTGAGCATGTGTAGAAGGGCTACGGGTTCAGTCTGTCTGATCAGCGTGGACATTTCTTCTTCCGCAGAACAGTTTACACAGCAATCTCCCATGGAGAACCCTGCGAGAATTGGGTAGTTGCACCAGATCCTGCTATCTTATACCTGCACGTGACTCAAACTTTCCTGTGGATAAGATTTCATTCTTGAAGGAACCTTCAGACAAGAGGGTTGAAGCCCTTTTAACCACTTCAATATCAGGCACTTTTACCCCCTTTCTGCCAGGCCAATTTTCAGCTTTCTTTGCTCTGCTTTCTTTTATCATTTTGTTCACACAAATAGATCTTTCTTTTGGTGGTATTGAATCACTACTGGGTTTTTTTGTTAAACTAAAAAAAAACTGAAATTTTGTAAAAAAAAAAAAAAAAAAAAAAAAAAAAAGTTTATTTTCTGTTATAAAATTTGGCAAATAAATAATTGTTCTTTATAAATGTATGCCAAACTGTATACTGCTACATTTCTTTGACAATAACTCAAATTAGTGTGTATTATTTAGTCTGTAGGAAAGTTTTATAGAGTCCACATACTATGGTATATATCTGAAAATCAATCAATCCTGATGTAATGACGTCCTATGTAATTTCTTTAGGCCCAAAAATTTTAGGACAGTACAGATATCTCCCAAATTACCTTTTTTGGAAAGTAGACAGTCTGCAGTATTTTTTGTAGTAAGAGGCGTGGCGAAGTTTGTTGAAGTTGTACATTTTTGTCATTTTTGGAAAATAAAGAAATGATTTTTTTTTTTCACTTATGTTTTAGTTTTTTGGGGGGGGGGGGGTTTTTTTTTTTTTTTACATACGGTTGTAGTTTTTATAACGAGAGCGGTCACTAGTGCAGTATACAAAACATATCCACTATATTCTAACGAGAAAAGTCCATACTCAGCTTTAATATGAGGGGGTGTACATCCAAATTGGAGGAAGGGTTTAGGAATTACAGCTCTTAAAAGTAGTCCCGCCCCCCCCCCTTTTTCAATGGACCAAAAGTACTTGGACAAATTTTCATTTTTAATATTTTAGGAATCCTTTACTGGCAATGACTGCCTGAAATCTGGAACCCATGGACATTACCAAAGACTGGGTTTCCTCCTTTCTGATGCTTTGCCAGGCTCTAACTGCAACCGTCTTCAGTTGTTCTTTGTGGTATTTCTGCCTTTTTAGTTTGCCTTCAGCAAGTAAATTGCATGCTTAATTGGGTTGAGATCAGGTAATTGACTCGACCATTCTAGAATATTCCACTTCTTTTCCTTTAAAACCTCCTGGGTTGCTTTTGCAGTGTGTTTTGGATCATTGTCTATCTGTACTCTGAAGTGCAGTCTAAGCAACTTTGCTGCATTTGGCTGAATCTGGGCTTACAGTATATCTCTAAACACTGCAGAATTCAACCAGCTGCTTCTGTCTTTTGTCACATCAATAATATCAATGACCCAGTGCCACTGGAAGCCATTCATGCCTATGCCATCACACTGCCTCCACCATGTTTTACATATGGCGGCATGTGCTTTGGATCATGAGCTGTTCCAAGTCTTCGCCACACTTTTTTTTCTTGTCATTCTGGTACAGATTAATCTTGTTTCATCCGTCCAAAGAATGCTTTTCCAGAACTGGTCTGGCTTTTTTAGATGTTTTTTTTTGACAGTCTAATCTGGCTTTTCTATTCTTCAGGCTTATGAATGGTTTGCACCTTGTGGTGAGCCCCCTCTGTATTTTGCTCTCGTGAAGTCTTCTCTTGATTTGTAGACTTTGACAATGATACGCCCACCTCCTGGAGAGTGTCCTTCACTTGTCTGGATGTTGTGAATGCGTTTTCTTTACCATAGAGAAAATCCTTTGATCATCCACCACTGTTGTTGTCTTCTGTAGATGTCCATTCCATTTTATGTTGCTGAGCTCGCCAGTGCATTCTCCTTTCCTCAGAATGTACCAAACTGTTGATTTGGCCACTCCTAATGTTGCTGCTATCTCTGATGGATTTTTTTTTTTTTCCATTTTTGAGGTCTTACAATGGCCTTTTTCACTTGCATAGACAGCTCCTTTGAACGCATGATGTAGGTTCACAGCAATAGATTCCAAATGCAAATACCACACTTAGAATCACCTCCAGACCTTTTACCTACTTAATTGATGAAGAAATAATGGAGTAGCCCACACATGGCCATGAAACAGCTTTTGATTCAATTGTCCAATTACTTTTAGTCCCTTGAAAAAGGGGCATGGCACAGATTGGTAACGGATCTTGCCGCAGCGCAGTCCTGCGAGAGCGCACGCAAGATGCCAACCGGGATCAACGAAAGTCCTGATCGGCCGTCAGTTTGCTGTTGGCCGAGAGGGAACTGGTTAAAACATAGTTTTCCAGGTAGAAGTAGCCTTCTGTCACTATAATGGTAGTCTGTTCGTTTAGGCCATGAGGGGCAAATTTCTCTGTTTTCCAGGACCTGGAACTTTTTTTTTTTTTTGGAGGCCCTAAGCTTCTGCATAGATGTTCTGGGAGATGCCCTCTACCAACTTCCTGAGTAAGCCTCATAACTGTTCACATGAGATTTATCTGATGGTTCAAATAGCCCAAACCCAATAAGAACTGGAATCCTTCTAGGTTGGGGGCTAAAGCCCTCTTACAGTGAAGTGACATCCCCACTTGTTTAAGTTGAGGGACTTTGTTGGCCTTGTAGCTGTCTAGACCTGGGAAGTCTTGAACCAGCCCATTATACCCAGGGGCTACAAGCTTGCTGCCGCTTCCCTTCACAACTGCCAGTGTGCATTTCTGCTCCCTGCAGGGAGTCTGCTCTGTTTAGAAAATCAGAGGTTTTTCTTCTGACCTGTTTACCATTCCTAAGCCAAATAGTGGAGTGTGCCCCATTGTGATCTGAAGACTCAACAGATATCTTTCAGTACAAATGTTCTGGATGGATTTTGTCCGGTTAACGACTGCCTCCATTTATCCAAAGAATATTCTATTCTTGAAAGATAGAGTATGCTTTTCTCCACATTCCTTTTGTGCAGTTCCACCCGTGCCATCTGCGGTGTAAGGTGGAGAAGCAGCATTTTCTGTTTTGGTCCTGCCTTTCAGGCCTATCCATAGCACCCTGGATTTTCTCCAGATTGCTGACTGTATTTTTTCCCTGGGGGCAGGGATTCCCATTTTATGCTAAATTGACATCTTGCTCTTGGGTAAACAATTTGTCACAAATGCTGTCAGCAGGGTGTCCAATGGATGGTGTAAACTCTGCAGAGCTCCCTTCAGATCCTCAGCCTCCAAAAGTCTGTGTTGGTTCTATCTCTCCACTTGAGCATCTGGGCCTAGTCTTGGTCACGACAAAGCTCACCTTTTTTTGTTTCCTTCTAAAAAAATATTTGGTCTGTGGTTCAGAATCTTTAGTCCATGGTTCACCCCTCAGATTGCTTCTGCATTAAGGTACTAGGCTTAATGGTGACCTCCTTTGAGACAATCCTGTATGCCCAGTTTCATTAGACCGTTGCACTTTATCTGTGTGAGACAGAAGGGCTTAGTCTCTGGAGTTACCCATACTGCTGACCA